CACACACACACACACACACAGGATCACCCTGGGTATCCCACACGCGGCACTCTGTACACCCATACACACACGCTACACTCTCCTAACAGCTATGGCGGCTATGGCCGCTGCTACCCTATCGCCATGGCTAAGCTCCTTCTCTCGCCCACTTCGTCTTCGGGCTCACTGCAGACCACCTCGCACAAATCGCTGTGGCAGCGCTTCCGCATGGCTTACACAGGAATGAACGATAGCTGGGCGCTGCTTCTTGATTTATACTTCTGTATCTCGTTGGTCTGCCCCTTTTCCCATGCCCGTGGTGCACACAGTCCCATGTGGTACTTGCTTGACTGGACTAGGACTGACTGGGACTGGGACTGCTGACTCAGCATGGGTCCCATGCGGTACTTGCTTGACTGGACTAGGACTGACTGGGACTGGGACTGCTGACTCAGCATGGGTGGACTCCACCACTTGCCCACTTGCCTCAGCCTAAACATGAGCAGCTTCGAAAGGCCACTACTAGGACCTTCCGGAAGGCCGTGGACTTGGCCTTTCGATACTGTAGCAGCTACGACCTTGACCTCTCAGAGAAGCTACAGCTACGACTTCTAGACCTTGCTAAGACTCCTACCCGACAGGTCTACAGATCGAACCCCTACTACCTACGGGCCCTACGACAGTCTACCAACTGTTACAAATACACAGGTCGCGGGTTCAACTCCCGGGGTCGACACAGATACTGTACTCAGGTAAGGTAAGGACTAGGGATCGAGCCCTGGGATCTGCATCGGCTACTGCGAACAGGTGAATACCGTTTCAGTTATCATTTCATCAACTATTCATCATCCGATCATCTAATAATCGTACTGACCACAACCATAATCATCATCACAATTTTCAACCTTATTAAATATCCGTACTAATTTCCTAATTATATTCCCGATTCATTGTACTTTCAACTCCTGGATCCTCGCTATTTAGTATTAACTAACCTGAAGGGTATTCCTTAACACCTAAATCTCTTAAGTTTTTAATCTCTGAATCTTTTAACCAGTATCTAGATTTTCCATGTCTTTATTTTTTTCATTTGCTTCCATAGCTGCTCTATTCCAAATTCTATTTCATAATCTCCAGAAATCTGGCCTTCACAGAAAAAAAAAAAAAAAAAAAAAATCGAAAACATCTGAAAAAAAACTATGTTATGCAGAAAAATAAACTGAGCAACTGCCGGGCAAGTGGTCCAGGGCCACTCTGGTAGCCTAGCCGTATTTGTTTTTTTTTTTGTTTTGGCCTTTTTTTGCTGGGACCTTCTTTTGCCCCTGGACGGCCAGCCGCCCGGGCAAACAAGATGACCAGGGCGGTACGGCTGGTAGCCCAGATTATTAATCCCTTTTTTTTTGGTTGAAAAAGCCGTGGGTGTCTACTAGAAGGGGTGATATGAACAGCCCCCTCTAGTAGTAGCTTTCGGGCTGCTCCATCTATTGGTGGGGAGATGGTGGGGAGCTGCATCTGCTGGATAACGGGTCCAACTTCCCCTGTACAATCAGAGAAACCTTGTTATATCCAGGTCATTGTGTTGTGCCCGCCAGCATTGAGACCCCTGACCATCTGGGGGATTGACTGTACGGGTACTAATGTGTGTGTCGGTGAGCTAGCCTGCCTCTTCAGCCCTCTAGGGGCTGCCTGATTCTATCTATGACCTCTAGCCGTTTAGCTACCATTCCTGTTGACTGAGGGAAACATACTGCTGCTGCCACCACTTCCTCGTCACCCTTAGCAGGGCATCAGGTCTGAACTGTCCTGCCTTGGTAATCAGGTCCTACTAGTGCGATCTTTTGTTCTGTTTCTGTCCAGGGCCCTTGGTGTCCCCCCTTTAAGCCCTAAACCCTTTCCGCCCATCCCTTAAACCCTAGTCCCCAGGTTCCCCCTCTGGCCCCATCTGTTGTGTATCCTTGTTAGCTGCTGCTGTAACATTGCATGTTTTGCTCCTATCCTCTTTTGTCCGCTTTATGCTTCCATTCCATACCATGCCAGTCGTACCTAGGAGTTTGACGGGGGGGGGAATGGGTCTGGGAAATCCTCGCTTGGTCTTGTTCGAATTGATGCACCCACCTTGGTCCATTCGTGGAAGACAAGCCTGTAGTCTTTGATGACTTCCCACTTCTCTTGAGTCCCTTGTTGCTACCCTTCCATTCCACCTTCCCTATCTTCCCCCCTGCGCCCCTCCAAGCCAGCAAGTGCAGCATTCTTGGATTGGGCAGCTTTGTCTAGTGCTCAGATTGCTGACCGGTACCAATGGGAGGCAAGCACCACATTAAGCGTCCTATGAGCAAAGTATGCTTATCCTGTCACAATTTTCCTCCTCAATGGCCTTTTTTCTGTTGGATGGAGGGTTGATGTAGTAGGGGAGAGCTCCACTCTCCAGGGGCTTCACAAGGTGGGAAGTGAAGCCCTGGAGGGGTGCGGGCAGATTTAGGGGATTGCTCTTTTCTGGGGCTGGGGTGGACGAACACATTCCAGCGGGGGCAGATTAGAGTAAAGCGTGGGCAGAGTCACACTTTGGGAGGGAACTGTATCCCTTTGTAGGATGGGGGGGGGGATGTGGGTCTGTCCCAAGTTGGGGCTGAGAGGGGCTGCTTGCAATCTGGGCAAACCGTTTCGGTGGAGGCAGCATTGGGATAGGTGGGGAAGGAGGGAAGGGGGGCAGATTTTCCAATCTTCCTTTGTAATCTGTACTACATTCGTGTATGGGAGACAGACGACTGTCTGTAAAGATCCAGGTCACGTAGTATATTACTGATCATGCTCTATCAAGGTTATCTGTTTTTTTGCAAGTCTATGCGACATCTGGTCTTCTTTTTCGCAGAGGATGCAGGATTTTAGGGATGGTGAAATCCTGGCTCACGTTGGCCAAGCTGTTGCGTTCTGTGCTCTTGGTTTGCCGATGCCAGAAGGATGCTGGCCGGTGCTGGGGCGTAGCCCTGTGACCTGTTTGAAGCAGGAGCATGAGGCCTGGTAGAGAGATCTGGGGATTAGTCGAAGGCGGAAGGCAATCCAGTGATGAGCTGGGGAGGGCTGCCACGACAACCTAAGGGGCCGGGTTTAGCCTTGGTGGCGAGAACACGACAGCTATGGCTGGTATTGGCTAGGAGGATATAGTCTCTGGGGTGTTGTGTCCAGTGTAGAGGAGGCTAGGAATTGCACACATAGATTTTGAGGCCAGGGGTTGTATAGTTTTTCATAGATTAATTACCATCTCATCCTCAGTTCCTTATCATCAGTATCCTCTCACCATCATCATTCTGCAAGCATCAGCAGTATTACCTAAGCTCATGAGGGACGATGGGCCTGGTTCCCAGCACGTGCTGATTTACCAACTCAACATTTTATCTCAGGGGACGCTGGACCCGCTTTCCAGCAGGTGTAGTTCCTCACCAATAGACTGGAGCCCCCTGCAAGACAGGTAGGT